TTAAAGATGATTTTATTCCAAGGTTTAGGTTTTTAGGGTATCAGGGAAAGGTTCTGCCCCCAGAGGGTGGTGGAGCTCTGGCCAGGCTCCCCAGGGAATGGGCACATTCCCAAGGCTGCCAGAGCTCCAGGAGAATTTGGACATCGCTCCCAGGGACAGGCTGGGGATGTTGGGGTGCCAGGAGCTGGACTGGATGATCCTCGTGGGTCCCTCCCCACTCTGGATATTTAAAGCTCAGCTGCAGTGAGCTACTGAACAGCTCCAGAGGTCCACAGTGAAGAAAAGGACATTTGATCAAGCAAGTTGCCTGGGATAACTACAATTTTTTTAATTGCTGTCATTCCCCCAGACTAAATTTGGCCACGTCCAACCTATTCTGAGCTCCAGCCAGTTATTTTGGAATCCCATCCTGACAGTGACACTCTGCCAAGGTATCCTGACTTCTCCTGCAAAGTATGACCATGGAATCCCACGGGAAGCTGCTGGAGTCCCTCAGCCTCCTGAGCTTGTTTAAGGATGTCATTTACAATGGATGGAGAAGCATTTCTCCAGCTCAGGGTACCACTTTTGGGGCTTAAATAAACCCCAGGGCCGGGCTTATGTTCATGAATAAGGCTGAAGGAAGGATCTCCCACAACCACTGTACAAATAATTTTCCAACAGATGTGAAGGAAGAGGAGCACACTTCAAGTATAATTTAAAATACATTTATTGTTTCATTTGTTCTTGCTTTTTTTCTTTTTTTTTTGTTATACAAAGATGTTAAATAACTTAAATACATTCTCAACAGTCACTCAGAATCAGATTTATACCTACAAGCTGTACACATGAGGTAGAGAAAAATAACTTAGGCTCCCATAAGACATTGGAAAAATAAACAAAACAAAAAGAAAAACAAGAAAAATACTAATCCTTCATGTTAGTATTCCCACCTCCCTTTAAAAGGAAATGCCATCCCAGGTGTGCAAAACAAATCCTAGACTTTACATTCCTGCTTCAAATTGTTAAAGGTGGGGTGGTCCAAGGGAAATTCCTGGGCTGGGCTGGTGATTGGTGTTTCAGATGGATCCATGCTCAAGGGGAGCTGGAAGGATGATCCACACATATCTTGATTTTCCTGAATTCAATCCCACCTCTATTAACCTGGATGTCTTTATCCCCTTGTCCTGCCAGCAGGGAAAACTGGCACCTCCACATGGGCCAAGCAGCTTCCAGAGGGGTCCCCACTGACTGCAGACCACGGGCTCCTTTCCTAAGGGGGGATGGTTCCACATCCATTGCACACCGATGCCAACACCTTTCCCAACATTCCTGGGGGAAGGAATCTCCTGTCCTTTTTGCCCAGTGCTAAGAAGGGTTTTTCCCTTCCCATTTCCCATTTCTGAAAACACTCAGCAACAGCTGAGAAAAAGGCAAAATTCCGAGGTTTCCCCTGACAGGTGAATTAGATGTGTCTGCATAATTTCTGGTCTCACTCCCTCCACCTGAGGAACTGTAGTTACAGGAAGCCAGAGTAAAACTGTGCTGCCAAATCCATTTTCTTTTCCTCCCCACCCACAAGGCCTCAAGGTTCCCTTTTTTTTCTTTTGTTTGCTCTATTTGAAAATATTCTATTTGCCGGACTTGCAAGTAATTTGGTAAAATCCAACGTTAAGCTGGTGAAAAATCTAAAATCTATTCAGTGGTAATATCCATGAGCAGGTTTCAGGGAGGCTGAGCAGATTCAACCAAGAGGTTGGAATGGGATGGATCTTAAAGACCCCTTCCAAGCCCAAACATTCCCTGATTCCTGTGATTCCTCTGGACCTGATCCTGTGCCATAGTGAGCCATGTGCTCCAGAAATGCCATATCTTGTATTTCCTGTGGGAAAACGTCACTTTCTAAAAGTCATCACCTAATTAGCATCCTAAAAGCTGAAATCCAGGATGAGCTGGCCACAGAAGGCAGACTCAGGCCAACAGATGTGCCCAGAGAGCTGGATAAACCAGGAATGAGGAGCTTTACTGCACCTGTTCTGTCGGGAACAGAACAGACCGGATTTTACTGCAGCCTCAACTGAGGAATTTTTCACAGGCACCATAATCCACCAGAAAATCACCTTAAGCAGCTTCTACTCCATGAAAGTACCCTTGAGAAATCTGTCCCTTCATCTGGGGTCTCATCCAAGCCTACCCCAGCCAAAGCACACCCGACTGTATGTTCCCTAAAACAGGGCAGCTGAAAAATGATGGACAAAGGAATTCCAGACCTGGGCTGAAGGAAGGCAGATGTCAACGAGCTGGCTGACAACAAAAACTCCTCAGAAATTATTTTAGGCCCTGCTCAGGTCTCCAAACCAGCAATCTCAAATGTTCTTTAGAAAACAGGGGGCCCATAAATCATTCCCTGCTTGCCTAGGTGATGGACAAACTTCCTGAATCACAGCAGATTAAATCCTCCTCAGTTCCCCAATTTTACACTGCCCCATTCAAAGAGATAAAAGTTGCTTGTGTTGGATCAAGCCTGGAATTTGGTCCTCTTAATTTAACCTTCCAATCTACTCAGATTATGATTTTATTTTCCCCAACTTTTTAAAAGCTGTTCTTCCCAAGCCCACTGAGCTCAATGGCTAATCCTCAGTTACTGCAAATAGATTTGGGATTTCCTCCATCCAGACCCATCTCAAAACCAGGATGTTCAGCTAAAAAAGGGCAAACTTGAATTTTTGGGGTAGATTTTTTTTTATATTTCCATTAAAAGCCACTAATTTTTCATAACTCATTTTTAGCATTAATAATGGTAATAAATTAAAAATCCCCTTGGATTAAAAGCTGCATGTTTCACCAACTGGAGTTTTTGATAACTGGAAGATAAGGAGAACATAATGTTTAGGACTTGTTTTGCATTTCTCCACATCCGGCATAAATGAGTCAGTCACACAGAATAGAAGCTTGTTAAAAAACAGATGACGGGTGCAACAATTATTTCTGTGGGTTTTTATTTCTTTTAATAGAAAATTCTAATATAAAACAGCAAACGTTTTCAGTTTGCCTTGTTTACAAAAATATTATATATTTTTTTTTTATATTTCTGACATAACTAAAATGCACTATTCAATAAAAATATTCTTCCATCAGCTAACTTCTCTTTTTAAAAAAATTAATAAAAAAGTTATATAAATAATGGTTGCACCCCCCCCCCACCCCAAAACTGATCTGGCTGGATCAGCTTAGGAGAACCAACACTTTGACACTTTTGGGGGAACAGGGGGTGAAAGGGGGTCAGGAACCAGAGATCTCCCCTCCACCCATCCTCCAGTTACATCTGAGCAAAATCCTGTTTCTCTGGGGACAAGAAAAGGGGGGGGAAAGTTGCTTTGCACATTTTTTTTTTTAGATATATATATATAGATATGAAATGACACCATGAAAAAGTTCAGGGACCCAAATCCACCGCTGAAGTAGTTTGACAAAACCGAGCAATTTCGTTGAATTGCACTGGAGATCCAATGGTGTGGTGGAGGAATCAGCCTCTCTGGAAAAATCCAGTTTAATCTAGCTGGGACAAAAAGGTTTTACAGGACACTGCCCAGTGTTTTACACTGGAGTTCCCAGTCTCTTACTTCGTGTTTTTCCAGACTTGTGGATGGAGTAGCACTCGTGAGTTAATTCAACTCCAACACGTTTGTCACCATCACAAAACCCAGGCCTAGCTCTCCAAAGGGTTTTGAGATGCTTTGACATCTTCTCTCCCAGCTCCTACTTCAGCCCCGCTGGATTTTTCCAAAAGGAGGCTTTTGCCCCCATTCCTTCTTTAAGGATAAGGCAAACATTGGAAAATGCTGGAACTAAAGACCCCCCCCCACCCAAAACACACCCACAGTGTGGTGCAGGGGGGAGAAGAAAAATAACCCACATTTGTTTTACCACCCTAAGTCAAAAGGCCAAGAAGACAAGTTCTCCTGATTTCAGAGTGTTAGTATATTTTATACACTGCCTATACATTTAACACATGTGCCTCGCTACTATTTAGTTATTTATAATTTTTTTTTTTTAACCACAGGAGAATAAACCTTGCTATTTACAATATATAACAGGCAAGTACTATATCCACATGAACATAAATACAATTTGTGGTATTTTTTTTTTGTTATTCTTTTTTTTTTCTTTTTTTTCTTTTTTTGTCTTTTTTTTTTTTGTTTGTTTGTTTTTTAAATACTTACAGAAAGCATCCAGGCTTCAGTGCGTGAATTATAATACACAGAAGAGCTCTTTCACTCAGTAGTTCATTCACTCTTTGCTGCTTTCTTCTAGACAAGCTTGGACAATCTGCCTTATTTCCCAGCCATCTCTCTCTCTCTCTCTCTCTCCCTCACACTGCTGAACACACCAAGCTTCCCTATCCCATCCCATCCTGGCATTTTCTCAGCCAGGATGTCCATGCCAACACTCCCCTCTCTTCTGCTTCTAGGGAACTCATTCTCCTCTCACACCAGTGCAATGTGGAGTTACTCCAGCGAGGTCAATGGAGACAGAGACACCAGTGAAAAGGAGGAAAATGAGGCCCATGGTTTAAATATAACAATAATAATAATAATAATTAATAATAATAATGCACATAAATTGCGGCCCATCCTTTAATTAAGAACAGATTTAAAAAAAAAAAAAAAAAAAAGAATGGAGCCAGAAATAGTAATTCAGACCCCAAAATTCCTGTTTTGAGCAGGTTTGGATCTGGCTTTACTTTGGAGAGGAAGAGCTATTCTAGAACACACAAAAATGTAACAGTGAGTTTGCACATACGTGTGAGAGAGAGACAGAGGGAGAAAGAGAATTTAACATAATACCACATTGAAACCATAAGAAGGTCCTTCTGAAGGGCTTTACAATAAATAAATGTTCAATATTTATATATATATATATATTTATGTGTCAGGGTGTGTATATATATCTATATATACACACTGAATAATAGGTTTATAGGCAATTTATTTTTTTAAACCATTCGATAAACTGCTCGGGGGTGACTTTCCCAAAAAACTGCGAGACCTTCCCGGTGCCTTGCCGGGGTGGAAGGTGGGAATTCCACATGTGGATTCCACCTTCACTCCTCCAGAATTATCCCAGCCTCCAGAATTGTACAGCAAATAAGGAAACAACAACAACAACAAAAAAGAGACATTTTGCTACTTCACTTTGCAGAACCACGGTGCTATTAAAGAGTAACACCCTGTCCCTCCCCGTGTCCCCTCCTCAAGATTTGATGCCAACGAGCCAGGCTGGACTGCAGGTATTTGTTACCAAGAAAACCCCAAACTGATCTTTTTCCCAGTAGATGCATATGCACAGCTTAAATATTAGTGGCTACAATTTGGAGGGGGAGGGGGGAGTTAAAAATTAAATAAAAATAAGGAAAAAAAGACTTTGAAAAATAATGGTCCGTCTTGGGAAACTGCTGTCGTTTTGTTCTACTAATTTTTACTAATGCTTGAGAATCTCCTCTTTTGAACACCAGATCAATGGCTAACAGAAATTTGGTGGAAATTGCTACTACTGGACAATCAAAAATTGCTACCAAAAATCAAACAGAACACCCTCTGCTCCCCATTTTTTCCTTAGAAAGCTTCATTCAGGCATTCGCTGGCTGCCTCCAAGCCACTTTTATATGAAGAATATTGGCACACCAAGTCCTGGATTGTAAATCTTCTCTTCCAGGTGAAAAATAAATGCTGGAGGTTGTCGTGTGTTTCAGTGTTGGAGTGGTCAACCCCTGCAGTCAAATTTCTGGCTTCTCTCAGGTTGTCTCCGTGTCGATTGGTTATTCCAAATCCATGAGTTTGTTAGGATTTAGCAGGTGTGTTTTTTAAAATACAGTTCTGGATCTAGTGGTTAAAAAAAAAAAATAAAAATAAAAAAAATTCATCTTAAGGTCATAGGGTTTACATACAGCTTGTGTCATGTACCACTGCCATGGTTTAGAGTAAATGGAATGATGACCTAGGAAAGAAAAGTCAACTCCTCCAGAGGTCTGATCCAGGCCAAAACAGCCGCTCCACAACGCAAGACAGCCCCGGGTTCCAAGATGCACTCGGATTCCTCTTGTCCTACTCAAGAGAAACACGCCCAAACTCAGCTGGCATAAGACTCAACAAGTTCCAGTTGGGATTTCTGAAGCAGTTACCACAGGTTGACCTCCATCAGGCAAGAGGCGGGAAGAGGAGAGAAAAATAAATCATGCGCGAAGTGAAAGTGAAACAAAAGTATCTAGTGGTTTAAAAAAAAAATTAAAAAAAAAAAAACAATTTAAGACAGCGATAGTGCTAAAGAACCTGCATTTGGGCGAATGGTTTTAAATAAAGAATGTGGGATTGGACTGAAGGGGACAGGCACGTCTGGTGTTCTGCTGTCTTCCCAACCTCTATCTTGGATCTGTTTCTGTCTGCAGCGTGGTGGACCCAACGTTTTTGAGCTGCGTGTGATGACAACGCACTCGGTGGACACGGAGCTGTCGTTAAAGAGCTGATGCTGCCAGTGGGTCCCTTTGTCAGAGCCTGGTTTGCTCCATGTGCAGGAACTCCACTGGAAGAACCCATCATTCCCCTACAAATCCTTCTCCAGTTTTAGGAGAAATGAACGTCCGCTTCCAGCACCACCGCACTCAAAGAGGAAAGATCTTTTGTATCTGCTCAGCTCTCTAGGCAGCTGGGTGAGCTCCAGGAATAAAGAAGTACAGGATATCTATGCCAAAGGGAATATCTTAGCCCGGGAGTTCATGGAGGATGGCTGAAACAATGTTCCAAGGAGAAATGATCCGTCAAACTGCGTAGAGGACGAAGGTGAAGGTCAACTGGTGTCTAACCCCAGTGTGACAGGCACTTATTTCCACATGGTTGGACCTCATGAAAATTCAGTCTACAGGAAAAAAAACAAAAAAAAAAAAAAAAAAAAAAAAACAAAACAAGAAAACCCCAAAACAAAACAGCAACACAGCTGGGTCACCTGTACCCTACAAAGTGCTTATGTCTCAACATAGCTTCCAGATCCCAGAAGGTCAATCAAACCCTGTTTGTCTCCATAGGCAGTTCTCCAAGCTGGCCCATCCCCGGGGGTGGCCGTGCGGCAGAAGCCGCGGGTTGTGTCAGTCCTTGCAGGTGTAAACCTCCTCTCTCTGGGTGCACTGCTTGCACTCCACGTAGCAGCACCAACGCACCTGGCACTGGCACGGGCGCGTCACCACCCGGCTCTGCGTGTTGTGGCCCCGGCCGCAGCAGATGCTGTCGCAGTTCTTGTCCTTGTAACACTTGCGTCCCGACGTCCCGGGGGAATACCGGCTCATCAGGCAGAAGCTCGGCGAGTCGTCAATGTAGACGAGATCCGTAGTCCTTGGGATTTGATCGCTGTGGCCGGGGATGGATTTTTTAGGCGGGGAAATGTCGCCTTCCCCCGTGGCCTCGTTGGTGGTGCTGCCCACCTTGAGAGAGGTCTCGTACTTCTGCTTCAGCTGCTTCCCGATCTCGTGGAAAGGGGAGAGCTGCCTCCAGCACGTTCGGACGGTGCAGGAACCCGACACGCCGTGGCATTTGCAGGTGGTCTCCACGCCGGCTTTGATGACCTGCAGACACACACACGGCCCCAAAGAGAATCAGTCATGGCGGAAGAAATCAAAACACCAAGTAAAACACGACATTTTCTAGGAGACACTTCAGGCCCACAGAGTTGATAAGAATGCAAAAAATATCTGTTGGAAGGGGACAGAAAACACATCCTACAGGAAATATTTATTTCAAAACACTCTTAGTTCCCAGAGTATGACATTTACCTGCAAAAACTTTGCTTAATTGGCTAATTAAAGATACCAGAAAGGTGCACAAAGATTGTCCAGTGCTGCCACTCATCATGTAGACAGAGATCTGAAATGGTGATACAACTAAGAGGTTAATACATATTGTAAGACCTATTTATCTTTGTCAATAATAAGTAGATAAGATATAAAAGTGGAAGAAGTTGGTTTAGTGAAAGAGGTGAGGTGGCACATGCTCCAGAACGGGAGTGTGGACAATAGGAACCTTGTCCATACCACAGGACCCCAAACCCAAGTACAAGAAGAAGTAATCTTAGTTCAGCATCATCAGCTGACTGATGCTAAACAAAGGATCCCATCCTTTTCAAATCAACTGCAATAAGGAAGTTTCACAGCACAAAACCACATACGTCTCCTTAGAAACAGCATTGCAATGTTCCAGCTCCCCTTCTCCAGAGAGAGATTTACATGTGGGATACCTCCATGGACAACACAAGAGCAGAGATGTTGTTTGGACAGCCACAGACACCCCTCATTTTGTCCACAGATTATAAACACAAATTTGTATTTCCTCCCACCCTGCCCCTTCCTCAAAGTTAGGCTCTATTGGCTTTAAACGGGTCAGGTACAACCACTCCTTAGAACAGCAGGCGAGAACAGAATTTGTTTTACAGAGCTGGGTCCTGACAAGGAACCAAAGTATTGCTGGAAGTGCCCTTCCTTTGGGCATCTACGGTACCTAAAAAAGAAGAAAACAACCTCCCCCCGTGCCCATGATGGCATCTGGCTACGTTGTGGCCTCCTGACAGCAGAGGACTGGCTGCAGTCCATTTCCTGACCATCCGGTTCTTAATTATTTGGCTGCACAAATCCTGCTGAGCCCCATGTGCAACCGTGCAATAGGTCATGGACTCGGAATTGGGGCCTGGCCCAATTGTGATATTCCAGAAACATTTTTAGAAAGACAATACTCATAATGCAGCCTTCAGCAGAGCCCGTCCAATGGTCACACTTCATTCCTGTGACAGCCAAAGACCTTTGCAAGTGCAATCCAATAATACACAGTAGCATTCGCAGCGGTGACGGGTTACAGGGGGAGATGTGTTGCTGGTTATAGCGCTCAGCTGGGATGGCTTGGGTAAGGCCTGTCACGCTTTGTGTGCCAAAGCGTCTCGCCAAGTCCACAAGAAATCCCACAATGTCAGACAAGAGCGTGCAGAACACATTTCAACACCGAGGGGGTGGGAAAAACCCCAACCCTCAGCCGTGCCCTCCCTCGTGTAAAGTCTCCTTTCGCTGCTTGTCCAGAAGTGAGAGCTGAGTTCGTGTGAAACAAAGCTCCTCCACCTGATTTCACGCCCACACCACCAGCAAACCAGGCAGAAATTGCTGGGATACTTGGGAAAGGGCTGCACACTGCAGTCATTCATCCATCCAGGCTTTCCTCAACCTTTCCTCCTCCCCCAGCGCATTTGCATCTGCTCCACCTGGAAAAGGAGACAACCCCCATTGCACAGGAGTTGGGAAAGCAAGAAACCAACGGGAACTGGCTCAGCTTGTAGTCCTGCTCCTGGACTTGGAGCTGATTGAACAAGACAGGGTCATGAAACTCAGGAAGGGAACCTGGAGTCGGGGCAGTTCTTGTCAGGAGCCACCTCTCTGGAGCTCTGTGGGAGTGCTGACGTTGCAGGAGCACTGCGGCCAAGGCATCCACGTGGGGCTGGTGGATACAGCCCAACACGTGTTGGAAAACCTGATCCTGATGGATTGGCAGCTGGCTGATGGCAGAAGACCTTTAGTCAGGTGAAAGCATGTAGGTTTAGGCACTTGAATCACATCAGCCAGCCAGGGTTGACCTCACCGAGTTTAAACACCTCTGCCTGAGAAACACCTCAGAACTCCTGTCAGAGTCAGGGGAGGACCCTGCAGTGAGGCAAACACCTGCTCCACTGAACAGCTCTCCAGGCTCCCACTGACAGCCGAGCACACCTCCAGCACCAACAGATCAGGAACAGGAACAGAACAGAACAGGAGCCTGGAGACCCAGCTCACACAGAGGTACCTCAGTTTAGGGGATTCTGTGAGCAGAATCCCACCCTCTGGGCCAGACTCAGGTGTTTAAATATCTCCACCTAGCACTAACTGAGGTGCTTTAAAACATTCTCCTCACACCAGCTGTCCCTCCAGCAGCACAAAGGTCTCTCAAGGGGTACAATTGAGTGTATTCAGGTAGATTAATTCTGTTCTCCTCATTTGGGCTCAAACAAAGTTTCACATGAACCCCAGCCTGGATTTTCCTGACTCGCTTTTAGCTCCTTGCTAAGCAGTGGCTGGGACAGCTCTGGTGTCATGCACTGGTGGACCATAAAAGGTTTCCATTGTCCCCATCCCCATGAATGCACCAGTTCATGAAATCCAGCGTGTGGATTTTCACATGGCTGCCGTGCGAGTGCGGCGCATCCCAACCGCCCCGTAAACCTTCTCCTGGAAGGACCGGGAAGGGCTCAAGAATGTTACGAGGCAGCAAGAGTGAAAATCCCAGAAAAATTCCTTGCCCAGGCAGCCTCCCCTGCTGCTGTCAGTCACGCTGCAGCTCCTCGAGGCGCTGCGTGATGGGGAACTGCTGCCTCCGGGCCCCAACCACCCACGAGCCAAAATGAATCTTGGCAAAGCCCTTCTGGTTCCCGTCCCGCTCCCCAGCTTCCACAACGACCTTTCCTCCTCTTGTTGCAAGCTCCTGTCAGAGACACTTAAATCCACCTCATTTCTTCAGGAAGCAGAGCAAGACTGATCCAAGTCAGCAGGTTGCTTGGAGTAGTGTTGGAGAAAGCTTTGCTGGCTGGATCCTGGGACAAATGTCTGGATCATGCTTTCAAACCTGGAGGAGCTTCCAGGACAAAAAAAATGCAGGTTTTATTCCCAAAAAACTCTTGGTTAGATGAGGAAGAACAAGGTTTTACCACATAAAATCGTATTTCAAGAGCTGTAGTAGCTCCTGCTTTCTTTTCAAAGCTCATCACAGTTCAGAGCTTGATTTACCTGCATCCTACACAGATCTGAACCTGTTCTGAACACACCCCTGAATAATTACGTTTCGTCTACACCAAGGATGTGGCCACCTGCACGTTTGTCACAGATATGAAGCAGAATGGCTCAGCTTCAATCTAAGGCACAAAATATTTCATGCTCCCCATGGCCCCAACTCCACAGCTACCACACAGCAGCAGGGTTGGAGTAACTCAGGAGATACAGCAACAAGGAGCATCCTTTTTGGATTGAGTACTGTAGAGAACTCCTACCATGAAAACAAAGCCAAACAAAGACAAGTGGTGGGTCAGGGATGGCATGACACAAAAATTCTGTCCTCCCACTCTCCTCTGAACAACCACTTGGTTTGGCAGTCCCAAACAGAACAGTTTGGGAGGAAAATAAGGATTTTTGAGCTATTTAGCTTGACTTAAGACCACAAATTCCCACTGACCTTGCTGTGAGAACACCCAATACCGACAAACGCGGAGCGAGGAGAAAACAAAGCAAGACAGAACCATTTTCCCTGGGCTTTGCTGCTCGGAGGAAATCAGATAGCACTGCTGGACTGCCTTCCCAACTGGCTTTACAGGGAGCCACGGGGAGAAGGGATCACAGCAGAGCATTGCTATGCAACATGTAATCCTTCCTCCCAACAATGGTGCGCTGCGAAGCTCAGACTAAGTGCCCCCGTCATGATCAGTCTCAGACATGCTGCAACACACAATTTCTCAGTGTTTTAGCTGAAACGCCGAGGACAGGATTCCCATTCATTCCCAGCTGGGTCACGGGGCTCTGGTGGTGGGTTTTTTTTACTTTTTTTATTTTTTTTCAGACAACCCTTGTCTGGGCAGCAGCAGCCCAGGGCGGACACCCAGCCGTGGGAATTCCTCGCTTATTGCTCCGCTGTCGTCATGGCTGGGCTGAGGCTCCAAGGCTTCAAACCATTCGCTATGGTTTGGGGCAGAGCAGGCAGCAAACCCTCCTCGGGGGGCAGCTCATCCAGGGAAAAGCCTTGCCTGGCTTCAGAGAAGGCTTTGGGATGCTGCCCCACAAATCCAATCCCTTCCATCCCCCGTATGCAGAGCCCTCTTCAATTTAAATAGGCTTAGTCATTCTCCCAGCTCAAGTATTAATGTTTGTTTGGACAGCAGCCACGGTCCCCACACACAACCACTGCACCAGACTTGTCCCTTCAATGCCATTGGCTGAATTATAAAAGTTTCACAGATTGTTAGAAGTTGTCCTTTCCTTTTTCTCCTACCTTGCTAAAAAAACCTTCTTTTCATCCTGTTCTCAACCTGCTGTTTCAGAACAGTTTTTCCCCTCCCACCACCCTTCCCTCTTTAAAAAAATGAGAACACTCATATTTTAGTGACATAGGTATTAAAATACAAACATTTAAGCATAGAACAACATAACCCTACTTAAAATTGAGAACTTCAGAAGTATTTTCCCCATGCTCAGTATTCCTAGCATGCTTCCCATGCTAAAAAAGCTCCACATAAACAACCAACTGCAATCACTTATGGGACACAGCAAGCAATTTTTTTCCATAGTATTGATTTCCAGGCCTAAGAAAGGCTTTGGCTGAGCCATTCTCAGCCTGAAAGGAGAGGAAAATCCAGAGAGCACGCCTGGGCATTCCTACCTGTCATAACCTGCAGCAATTAATACCAGTGGTGGCCCTGAAAACTGATCTGTACATTAAGAGCTCTTCTCAGGCTGTTATTTGCTGGGTTTGATTTGTACCTTGGTAAACACGTGATGCTTTCATTTCTCACTGCAAACACATCCCTAAAAAAACTGCCAAAAAGGATGCTTTATGTTTCTTCTTTTTTCTTTTCTTTTCTTTATGCACCAAGCGGATTAAGCTCCAAAACAGCAATAATTACACATCACGAGGGTGCAGCAAAACTTGGGAGTTCGACTGGAACTGTATCAACGAGTAGGAACTGTGTGAGACTGGATGGTCAGTGCTTGTAAACACTGCCTCTGCAACAGGAGAGTTGTGCCTCCCTCCGCCTGTGAGTGACCTTTAGTGAGTCACTTAATCTTTCTGGGTCTCAATTTCCCCCCTCTGCCCAACGGAGCTCCAGAAATGAAGAGGGTGGCATGCTCTGATAACGTGTTATGTGATAGCTCATGAAGTTCCTCAGACAGATGATAGCTGGGCAAACATCTCCCTGATATGGAGAGTGCATCTCCAGCCCTCCAGAGAGGTCCCTGCCAGCACTGCCTGGGGGGGAAAAGCCATTCCTCACATGGAATTCCAAAATAAGCAAGTCAACAGCAAGGGAAAGTCCAGGCACCTCCCACCATCCTCTCCAGAGCATCCCAGACGGATTCAGGTGTAGCTGTCTCAGGATGGGTCTGGATTTGAAGCCTACGAGGGTGACAAGGACCATGACAGGGGGATGGGACAAGCCAACCCTTCCAACCCAAGCCATTCCAGGATTCTCTGATCCTTCAGAAACACTTGCTCTCACAGACCAAAACATCTTGTGCCAAAAACAATGAAGCCTCATGAAAGGAACCAGTTTCAAAGCAGGAAACTGCTTAGGGAAATCTTTTCTTGTTCTCCATTTCTCCTCCCCACGGTTTTGTATTAGACACTCTCAGCTCTCAAGACAACTGTGGTTACACACAAATCCAGGCAAAGGTTTGTGTCCCTCCTTCTGGAAGGATGAAGGAAAAAGGCAATGAGAACATGATAATTTTTTTTCCTAGGGTAACAGCAGCCCCTTTTAATTGTGCCCCTTGGATCTGTAAGACATGCTTGACCAGACATACCTCTGGAAGAGGTCAGCACTCCTGGGATTAAGAAACTTAGCAACGCTCCAGAGAGGGAGTTGGAAAGTCATGTTTAATGATACTTTGCTGAGAAAGTGGGCAAATTTAATTAAAACATCACTTACTCAAGCCCAGTGGAACTAATTGAGTGCTCTAATATTCCGCCTTTTCATTAATGGGTTACAAAAGAGGGCTGCACTTGTGTGCACAAGGGGGAAAAGGGGGGAGGATAGAGAGAAGATGAGAGCTTTAGCAAGGCTGCCTGGGCTTCATTTAATATAACTCAGAAACTTCATTGCTGGCAATGGAGCTTTAATACAGTTGACTTCTCCCCCATCCCCTCCACACACACATCTCCCCCCAAAACACCCTCTCCACCCAAGACCCCTCGGAAAGAATGGCTGAATGAGGGGGAGTAGATCTGGCAAAGGAAGGGAAATTGCTTTTTTAATAAGTGGTCTATTCAGAGCTCCTGCTTTTCAATAAAGAGAAGGCTGGAGAAGTCCTGGTCTAATTACCTCATCCTCACACTAGACAAGCTCGCCCTTTCATTAACCACTGAGGTCATATCATATAACTTGGTGAGCCACCACGGGCACAACATGTTCAGTGATTATTTCACTGGTGGCAGCAAAATTACAGGCAGCCCATCAAGGTTGTAAAAAGCAGAAGTCGAATCATAATTAAATGAGAACGTCTACCAAGAGACACTAAAACTAGGCGGGATAGGATCATGTCACCCCTGCAGAAACACACGGATTGTTTGCTGCTGTGACACCATGGAGAAACTGCTGTGGTGACCAGGAGGGGAGAGGGTTGCCTGCCAAATTAGTCAGTCCAGCACAGGTCCTTTTTTTGCTGGGTCTCAAGGGACTATTTGTATGTTTTGCCACGTTTGGGAGTAATTAGATGGGAAAAATGACACGTAAAGGATCAGTGGGAGACCACCAAGCTTGTGCTGCATCTTTCATGGAGACTTCTCCACTCCCTCAGCGAACACACACATCCACACACTGCAAGAACTCCAGCTCCAAGCTGTTCAGCTCCAAAAATGGCACAAATCAAGGCTGTCTGCACTCCTATACTGCCTTTGATCCACTCCAAATCAAACCCAGATGAGTTGTTGTTCCAATAACCACACTAGGTCAGTCCAAAGTGGTTTCAGACTGCTGCAGTCACTGGGTGAGCAAACCCTACTCGATGGTTGCAAAGTCTTTAGGGCAGGAGTTGGTTGGTGAGCAGCTTCTTTGAAGACACAGAAAAGGTGCTGAGAATCATATTTAACTCCCTACCTTCCTCAAGGAAAATATCCATCAACTCGGCAAGGAATGCAGTAATGCTCTCAGCCTCCATCCTCTCATCCCTGCACTTGCAGTGGGAACAGGAGGAAGAGCAGAGATCAAACCTGGTATCAATCTACACCTGAGAGCAAGCAGTGCCAAAGACAATCCATCCACCGCATCAAGAGGGTCAAAATGGTTTCAATATTCTGCAATCTGCAGCAAGCACTGCAAGTTTTGACTTTGTAGTCACAAAGCCAGCCTGGGTCCTCATCTCTGATCATCATCTTAGTGACACTGAACTGTGCCAGTGGTTTAGGGCCACATATCCCAACCGTACAGATGTGTGCTCTCCTGACCTTCAACCACCACCTCCTGAAAGCTTCTTTCTCAACATTCCCTCCTTCCCTGCCTGGCTCCATGAGCTGTGAGCCTGGAGAGCTGCTTGGCTTGGCTTTCAACCACGCCATGGCACAATGAATTACTCCAGCAGCACAAACAGAGAAATCATTTCAACTGCTGCTGCAAACAGGCAAAGGAAAGCTGTCAGACAGCAATCACAGCTCGACAGACACGTTGTGGGGGGACGAAAATAGGAACACTGGATCACTGACCTGCAGCAAAGGTCTGGGACTTGCACTGCCAGGAGGGCTCTGGGTGTCTGGACAACCGTCACAACTGTTACTCAGCTGTTTAGCTGCAGGTCTTACACTCTGAAACCACTGCCAGTGGCCAGAGTCCGACTGTGCCAGGGGAAGTGGAGGCAGAGGATGCTGCAGAGTCCTGCATCTTCCCCTGGGACCTAACTACAAGGATCAGGACACAGCTTCAAGGTTCAACCCGTCCAGCTCATCCTTGGAGTTCAAAGGCAGGCAGTGGAGAGCACAGATGGTACTTTAAGGACACAAATCCTAAATCCAAGAGTGGCCTCAGCCATATGGACATCCTGACTGCAGCTCCTGGGATTGGGAACACCACGAGTTTGGCCAAACCCATCTGGGAAGATTTTTAGCCTTGCAACTGTTGGTGGATATTCCTGGAGCTGCAAGGACTTGCCAGTGGCAACTAAAGTCAAATCCTTGGAGGTTTTGATGAGACTGTATTGTGTGACTCTGGAATGAGAGGACATCTCACAGAAACATCCAGCACGGAATCACAGCCTCCATGGGCCACCTTCTCCATTGCCAGTCCCACTCAGCTCCAAAAGATGGAACAGAGCAACCAACACTAGGATTGAAACAAGTTCCATCATCCTGCAAATCCCATTTCACATGTCAAAGAGCTGCCACAGGAGTTCAGAGACACTGAGCCCTTTAATCCAGAGCAGGAAAGCTGTCAGCCAAAACCAGACACCAGCTAAATCCAGGATATTTCTAATCCTGATCTCAGCGCTGTCTAGGAGCATCTGGTAGTGGGGAGAGGGGGAGACATTTTGCTGGCCAGCCCTGGCTGGTGGCATTCCCCAATGCCCCAATTCCGTCGTGAGGAATGACATTTTATACATAGACACAGCAACAACTGAGCTGGGGTGGCCATTCCTAGAATGCACAACTGGCTGGGGCTGCATTTGCCTGGGAAACTGGAGACCCAGGTCCCCCATCCCAGCCCCAAGCCTGCATCCAATCACACAGACAATAACAAGGCTGGAGGGCTATTTCTGGCCTTGCAGTATGTCCCCCTTGGAGGTTGGTGCAATGAAACACTGATCCTAGGCACCTGTGCTGGCCAATCTGAGGGATTTTCGTGTTGGAGCAACTCTAGGCTAGGTACAGCCAAGCACATTATGGGAGAAGGTGGAAAGCCCCTTCCTTTTCCCCCTTGCTGGGATGACCCAGCTCTTGCAGACACTTTGTCCTTTACATGTGTCACAGAAAATGCTGAGCTGGAAGGGATCCACAGGGATCATCGACTCCAAATCCTGGCCCTGCACAGGACAAACCCAAAAATCACACCATGTGCCCCACAGCATTGTCCAAATGCTTCCTGAACTCTGGCAGTCCTGCAGGGAAGCCCCCAGGCAGCCTCACAAAAGGTGTAAAGAGCAGGAAGAGAGGATAAAGATAGGAAAAGAAAAAAGGGACTCTACAACCAAGCACCATCTCATGCTCTAGGTGACACAGAAGGTTTCTGCCAGAAGACAAAACTGCAGGGACTTTTAAGTCTGAGGTCAGCCAGAAATTAATCTCTCCACCCTGGTTCCTGGCCAGGTGTTTCTCCAGCCAGTTTTAAAGAAACCTGGCCAAGGAGATGCTACCCTGTCCATGCTCTACTGAACTGCTGCAAGAAAAGTGTCCCTCAAGGATGTGTTGTGGCAGCATAAAACCCTTCCTCTCTGTCCTACCTCATGTAAGCCTGAGGAACTTGTCTATCCATCCCTTTGTGGTGGGAAATCCTCTCCTCCCTGAGGGAAACCAGCAATCTTTGTCTCCACTTCATATTTCCTAGACCTGTCCAGTCCCATTTCTCTCTCCAATGGTTTTGCATAGTGAAAACCAAGGCGGAATCCCCCAGCTCAGACTTTTCCCCTCCAGAAGGAGGATCACTCCGTTCATTTCACATCCAACACTCCCATTCCACACCCAAAACCAGCGTTATCACCCCCAAAAACCCCAAACAGTGTGACCCCACCCCACCCCACCCCGCGGCGCCTTCAACGCACCTTCATGCCCACCAGGTTGTTGTGGAAGTCCACCCTGGCTCGCAGGTCCTTGTTGGGCTTCCTCCCCAGGAACTCCTTGACGAATTTGTTGCTGTACTTGAGGTTGTCCCCGCAGCCTCCCCACTGCCACGCCTCCCTGTTCTCCAGGTCGGGAGCCTCGTCGCAGGTGCAGCGCTCCATGCGCCCCGCGCTGCACGCCTTGGCCATGGCGTGGGTCAGCCCCGCCGAGGAGATGGCGTACAGGAAGGCTGTCTCCTTAAAACCTGCAGGGACACGAGGGACAGGCTCTAATTGCAGCTCAAAGAAAGGAAAAGAAACGGGAAATGGAGGCAAAACCTACTGGGAGAAGAGCATGAGCTGTGTGACAGAATAGCGGAGTGAGAAGGTTGGAGGGGACCACAGTGGTGGCACCTCCCTGCTCCAGCAGGGCCATCCCAGAGCACAGGGCTCAGGATTACACCCAGACTGCCCTGGGATATCCCCAGTGAGGGAGACTCCACACCAGGGCTCAGGATTACACCCAGACTGCTCTGGGATATCCCCAGTGAGGGAGACTCCACATCAAGGCTCAGTCACTGCCCAGGAAAAAAGTTCTTCCTCAAGTTCAGGTAGAATTTCCTGGGCATCAGTCCCTGCCTGTTCCTCCTGTGGCACTGCTGGGCATCACTGGAAAAGCCTGGTCTGTGGTCCTGACAGCCCTAAAGCATGGCAAGCTCTGCTTGCATCACTGATGGTGAGGAGGACAAGGAATGATGGACAGAGGTGGCACAAGCAAGGATCCAGGAATGCAGATGGAATCTGGCCAGCTCGGTGGCTGTCACTGTGTCACTCACAGTCTCTGCCTGAAAATGGAAAGAGTTGAGCAAGAGCTGCCCCTGGAAGTGTCCAGGAACAACCTGATCTAATGGAATGTGTCCCTCCCCATGGCAGGGGGTGAATCTGGATGAGGTCTCCTCAAAGCCAAAGCATTGTTTGACTCCATGAAGAGCTGGGCAGGATCACTGCTGCAACCAAGGGGACACCAAACAGCAGGAAGCCAGCACAGACTTCCAGTCCTCCTCATTCTTCCCTCTCCTCCTGAATCAAAGTCACTGGGTCCTACTCCAGACCAGCAGAATTGTTGACAGAAGACACCTGAAGGCTGGGAAGCAGATGTGTCACCCAGTGCAGCACCTCATTCAAAAAAACCAGTTTACACCTCAAACCTTCCATGCACAGCCTTTCTTTACACCTCCACAGTCACCTGGCAGGGATGTGACAGCATCCACTCCCCCAACAGGCAAATGACACCCAGAGGGACCCACGGTTTCAATCCAAATTATAAAAGCCAGAAATAAAAAGCAAACATGGCAGTATTTATAGCTACCCATTCTCCAGCTATGGAAGCTGTAAACGACTGCATATTTGAGATGCAATTCCAGAACAGCTTTGGATGGGACTCAAGAAATCCCCCACTCAAAAATAACACAAGTGGATGCTGACAGTAGTGGATATATCTGTGAGCTGGTGTGTCAACCAAGGACATGCAGAGACACTGCCAGGTCATTTTTGGAACTGTTCCTTGGGAGGTTCATGACAGTCCAAGCAAACTCATGTGGCCATTCCCAGAGTCTGCCTGCCCAAAACACTCCCAGGAGCAGGAAGACTGATGAAAATCCAGCCCAGGGGACTGAGGTTTGGTCCTCCCAAGGGTTCTGAGGTTCTACTTCCTCCCAGATTGTGGTAGGAATTATCCAATCATTCTAGTGCTCACCTGGAAAAGGAGAACAGGAACCTTTTCCTCACTAGAAACAACATTAAAATAAAAAAAAGGTTCAACTCTACACTCACTGAGGACACCACATAGAGAGGTGAGAGTTAAAAAAACAAATTTTGTTTTCTCCTTAAAGTCAGACCATGTGCTCTGACAGCCCAGAAACACCTTCAGCATTGCAAATACTTCATTGGAAGCAGTGAGAGACTTCTTAATTCACACACCAATAATTCACAGGTATCCAGATGACTCCTCTGGGTAGAAAATGCCTTCTAAGCATCTCTCATCTTTTGTAAACTATTTTTTTCTAGGCTACACTCCAGGTCAGACTGCCCACATGCCTGTCAGAGGGATGCCACTACCAAAGACAGATGTGCCCAAGCCTTTGGGCTCTTGGATTGGAGAATTCTTGCCACAGCCACACAGAATGAAGAGGTACCAGTGTGAAACAGAGAATCCTCAATGGGATGGGGTGTGCAAACCCTGCCCTGGATGTCTGAGACTGCAGTCATGGCAGGGTTTGGGTTGGAAGGGACCCTGAGATCCATCCAGTGCCACCCCCTTCCATGGGCAGGGACACCTTCCACTATCCCAGGGTGCTCCACAAGCCCCATCCAAGCTGGCCTTGCACACTTAACTCGCAGCCATCAGCTTTAATGGATGAATTAGGCAGCCCAGGTCTCCACCCTGCTGGAACCCTCCTGACCCAAAGCGCTGAATTCGGAGCGGTTGTGGAATCCCAGCAGAAAGTCAGCACCGTGCGACCACAACACATTCCAGAGCTGACACAAAGCCAGCAGGAACAGCTCATCTGCCAGGTTCTCCCTTTCCACCAGCTTTGTCTCCACTCCTCCCGCTCTCCATCACTGAAAGCTTCCCAAATTCCCTGTGCCCATCAGCACGGGGATCATCTCACCCACAGGCAGCTCCCGACGAGCTCCATGTGACATTTGGCTCTGGCCAGATTTTAAAGCCATCTCCACCACGCACTATTTGATTGCACCAAGATATTTTGTAACAAGATAATGAGCTTTAAATCAATGCAGGCATTCTAAGCCCCAGTGCATTGACAGTCTGCCGGCCCTGGCTATCCAGTTTCAGCCATTTCCAAAATTGTGCACGAGTATCCAAAGAGGATAACGAGTCCCTTAAACAATCCTCTGTTATTTTAAGAAACGGGGCTGCATCAGCCCAAGTTGCAAACCAGCAGCCAGAGCTGGTCTGGTGACCAAAGTGTAAAAGCAGAGGGAGAAACTTTTAAGTGAAAAAAGTGAAACTTTTAAGTGAAAAAAGTGGTTTTTTTCCCCCTTTTTCCTTTCTCCCTGGAGGAGAAGAAACAAGCTCTCAGCGATGAATTTGGAAAGCTGAGTCCTAGTGGGTGATACATGTGAGCCTTTGCCCTGGGCCATCCCTTTGCTGCAATGCTGAACCAGGAACCAGCAGCTCCTGGAGAGGAGGAGAAAGATTTACAGGGCACTGTGTTACTGCTGGGGAACAGCACCTGAAGGATTTACAGCACTGGGGCAGAGCAGAGATGCTGCAGGGATATAAACCACGGCAGAATGAGACAGCAGCAGAGCCCTGCAGCCCCCAGAGCTCTCATTTATTACACGGGTCCCTGACAGGGGCTGGGATGGGGGGGTCTCTGTGGGGTTTTTACTCTGGCCAGGGCTGCCCAGGGGACAGGCACGTCTGAAGGAACGAGCTGTGGCCTCCAGGTGTCAGCATGAGAAAGTGCTTGGCTTCCCCAAGGCACCACTAATCCAGGGACTCCTCTGGCATGCAGGGATATTTTTAAATGTCTTGCAGCTCTGGCCGGACCTCTTGGGTTTCATAAGGACTTTCCTTGTTTCCACCAGTCAGTGACAGTGCATTAGTTAAGCCCCGGTGCTTCTGAATTACTCCTCCTCACTAATTAGCCCTGCAAACCTCTGCTCTTATCTTTAAAGACTTCACACCCTGGCTTTTCCAGGTCCAGGCTCGTTGCTGAGTGTGGGACTTTCTGGAAGTCACTAAAGCCCTGGAGACCCTCGCATGCTGTCTGTAAAACGGTGCTGCAGCCTGGAAATAAGAACTGGATTTTACTGGGAGGGTGGAAGGAAGAAACTGGACTATATGTGGTAGTACAAAGAAAAATAAAAATATCTTCTCCTCCAATACTCCTAACTTCTGGCCATGTCCACCTGAGCTGCTGGGAAGAGGTGTGGGAATTACCCACTGCTCACATCCATGGCAGTAACAGGACACAGACATTTGCAGGTTTTGCCCTGTATTATGACAGAGTTCCCCTTGCCCCCTTCTAAAAGGACAGCACAGAACAGTTTGGTTTGTCTTATTTCTTAAAAAAAAAAAAAAAAAAAAAAAAAAAAGAGGCATTTTCTCAACTTCTTCCCTGACAGACTGGCATAACAAATAGGAAAAATAAATAGGAGAAATAAATCGGAAGTAAATAAATAAAATCATAAAGAAAGAGAGCACAACTTTGAGAGCTTCCCAACTCTCTCCTCCAACAGCAGCTCGATTTCCAGCAGAAATGGGCACAAAATGTAGCTCCTGGCTGCAAAGACCTGCACAAACACCTCCAGCCTCCAAGGAGAGCAGCCAGGGCCAGCAGTGGGAAGCAGGCAGGGGCAAGCCCATAAATTACCCCCATTAGCACATTCTTTGCCTGCCCTGCACTTCCAGGGATGAGCTCCAGCCTTCCACAGAGCTCTTTGTGGATCTCAGGGCAAGCACCACCAGCACAGGACAGCCCAGACTGACCACCAGGACAGGAGTGCAGTTGTTGGAACCCAGAATCCTGGGAGTTTTAAACTTTCTGTGCTTTCTGACACTGAACCTCAAAAGAACACTGCTTTTGACCTGAGGCCTTGGAGAAGCTTCCAAAATTTGAGTGATGGAGATGGGATCACTGGTGTGTGGTTAAATAGAAGTGTGTGATTTCACATGGTGAAGGGTTTGGTATTTGGGGTTTTAGAATATAGCAATGGGTATAGGACAAAATAAAAGTTTTAGGGCATTAGTTTTTCCTCCTTCTTGTCCTTCTTCTTGGGTATCCTATACCCAGTACTTTTAATTGAATAAAAAATGCCACACTGTGGGTCACTGATGCTTGGTCATTAGGTCAAAAGCAAAAGTAATGTAGGTGTTAGCTTTTAATTAGCTGTTGGCTTTAAAAGACCTTGTAACGAGCGAGATCCATCACCATTTCTTCACTTTTAGCTTGTTAACTGAAAGTGCCACAGCACTCACTGTACTATAAATAAAAATTAATAAACATCTACGTCTAAATACGAAATTCCATCTCTCGTGCTTTAATCCCAACTCTGACTAAGAAAAGGAAAAAAAGAAGATAAAAACTTGAAAAGGTGGTATTTGCACCACATAATTAGTGGCTTGTCTGCAGTTTGTTCTGTCTCCACTCAGAGTCAGGATTAAAAACACGAAGGAGACGAATTTCTCATGTTCGGGCTTGGTTGTTTATTAAATCTTATTTAAAGTACAGAGAATTCTGCAACACTTCCAGCTAAAAGTGAGCAAAGTGGAGATCAACCTAGCTAGTTACAAAGTCTCTTAAAGCTAAACAGTCCAATAGAGAATTAACACCTATATTATTTATACTTGTGACCCAATAACCAAACTCCCATGACCCTCAGTGCAGCACTGACTGTCCAACCAGAAACTACTGCCTGAAATCATGAAGAGGAACACAGAAAGAGACAACACCCAAAATCCTCCATCTTGTCCCATACCTATCACTACGTTATAAAAACCTCACATTTAAAGCCCTTCACCATATGAAATCACACACTTAAAGATCATTGAGCTCCAACCCCCCCTGCCATGGGTAGAGACACTTTCCATTAGAACAGGTTCCTTAATGATCCATTGAACTCAGCCTTGAGCTTGTCCACTTCTATTCTAACTACACACCAGTGACTCTAACTCCATCACTCAAATTTGAAAGCTTTCTCCAAGATCTCAGGTCAAAAGCAGTGTTCTCCAGGGTGAGAGGAATGATGGATTTGTCTTTACAAACAAGCTGTGGGTCTGCTGGTGGATAAAACCAGCACTGAGAAAGAAAAGAAACAATGGGAAGGATTCCACTGATTGATGAATGGAAAAAAAGATATTAGCCTTTACAAACAAACTGTAGGTTTGCTGGTAAATGAAATTGGATATTGAAAGGTGAAAGAAGCAATGGGAAAAAAAAAAGAAGTCTATGAGAATTAAAAATTAAAAGGGAGGGCTGTACATTAGAGGGGAATCTGAGGTATCAGGCGTTCTGGGAAGTCTGTGCCTCTCAAGTAGGGAATGGGGAACGCGGAAAGAGAGAGGGAAACGTGGCCGGGAAATTGGGATAAAAAGGAGGCTGCATCCTCCAAAAATTTGAGATATCCCAGGGGAATGCCCCATGGCCTTTCTCTTTATTCAAACAAAGTAAAAGGATTCCTCTGTCTCCTTTCTGTACATAAACCTCTGCTATCTGTGGATTAATTTTCCCGACAAGACGATCAGCGCCAGAAACCCCAAAAACGCTGGGAAATCCCAGGTTTCTGCATTCCAACAAACCCTAAAACTCATTGCCCTGCCCTCGGGCTCACCTCTCTTGAGGAGGCTGGCACGGTAGCGACCCTCCAGGGTGCAGTTCCAGCGCTCGAAGCGGAACTGGTACTGGCACTCCAGGGCGCTCATGCTGATGGCCTCCATCAGGGTCTCGGCCACGCCGGGGTCGCGCCGGCACATCCGCCGCTGCTTCTTCTCCAGCTTCAGGCGGTCACACACCTTGTAGTGAGCCTTGGCGGCCGCCTCCTCCATTTCTGACGTCAGAGGGAGGATGGTCAGGGGTTCGTTGCCCGTCAGCCTGCCGAGAAAACACACGGGGCACCACGGTGAGGGAAGGAAAAGGAGAATTACGGCGAGAAATTCTCACCCGCGGTCAACCCTGGTTGCTTGGTGTCTGAGGTTGCAGTGCAGGATGTGAGCAAAAGTTTGTGTTCTATCACCAGCTGTTAAACCAGATGGGGCAGTGATCCTGATCTCTGTGGGAGATATTCTCTGTTAATGGGCCAGCTGTTAAACCATGTGGGGCAGTGTTCTTTATCCTTTCCACAGCCCATCCTCCCTCCAGGAGATCTCTCCTGTTAATGGGCCATTTGTCAACCCAGCTGTTGCAGTGTTCTTTATCTTTTCCACAGCCCATCCTCCCTCCAGGAGATCTCTCCTGTTCATGGCCATTCAGTCCCAGGGCAGGGCTGATCAAATTCCATCATCCCATTGGGAGATGCTCCACCCAGGGGGAGGAGCCAAACATTTCCTACCCAGATAAAATCTGAGATTTGGAACACCAAGGCAGCCTTTTCCCATTGGATCCCAGAGGAAAACCAAACCCTTCCACATCATCCCTGGAGCTTTGGAGGAAAACTGCACCTTGTGCAGGAGCCCTGCTCCAGCAGAGAACCACATCTGTCACTGCAGGAGGATGCAGCCACCATGGAATGGGACTGCACCAACCCTGACTGACTGACGGGGGCACCTTGGATTCTCACTCTGCCCCTGCTCTGGGTTTGTTCTCTGTAATACTGGATTTCTATTTTAATTTTCCTAGCAAAGAACTGTTATTCCCATTCCCATATCTTTGCCTGAGAGCCCCTTAATTTCAAAATTATAATAATTTGGAGGGAGGGGGTTTACATTCTCCATTTAAAAAAAAAAAAAGAGGCTCCTGCCTTTCTTGACAGACACCTGTCTTTCAAACCAAGACACTCAGAGAGGCTGTGGTTGCACAGGTTTGCTCGCTATATAAATTATCCCCATACACCTCAGCACTAAATAAATACATACCTACTTTATTACTCTCATTTCTCACAAGTTATAAAATCATTTCTGCATATCACTGGACACTGAGCAAACTGATCTAGTGAATCCCCCCCAGCCAGGGCAGGGGCTTGGATCTAGATGGTTGTCCTGGTTTCAGCTCAAAACCAGGCAGAAACACCAATTAATGTAGTGGGTTTGGTTCACCAATTTGAAATTTTCCTACTGTGAGACAGGATTAGGAGGAAGGCAAAACAGGCTCAACTTTAAATGGTACAAAGAGAAACTTTATTACTAGAAACTATAAGGAAAAAAAAACAAACAAAAAAAAAGCTCAGGATAAAACTTTAGACCACTCTTTCTTCCTCCACACACTTCTTTTCTTTTACACTGAAAAAGTACAGCAAACAACTCAGTTTATCATCTTTAAAATAGTCTTTCACCAATTCACTTCTCTCCAAGGAAATATTTCCTCCAACCAGTCTGGGGAGGGACTGCTTGAATCTGTTTCCTAGAGGGACCCCATTTAAAGGTTTTCTCCCAAATTTGCCATAAACCAGGACAATGATCTTTAAGGTCCTTCCAACCCAAACCATTCTGGGCTTCTGTGAAATACAGCCTGTGGTAGGAATGGGCTCAGGGGTGGGATCAGGATCTCCTGGCTGAGCATCCCTGTGGACTTGATTTCACAGTGAGGCTCCTCACAGTGTGTGTGCAAGGTGGCAGCAGGAAAAAGAGGAAATATTTGGATTGATGCTCCCTACCAGCTCTCACAGAGCTTGTTTGGACATAAACCCTTGGCCACCTCCACCATAGGACTGTGTTTAAAACTGAAAGTGGAAAGAAATCATTTCAGGTGCCTCACTGCATGAACTTGGGGAATTGGCAAAAATACACCAGCATCACTGTCCTGGGCATAAACAAAAAATTCATTTTAGCACATCAAACAGAGCCAGAACCCAGTTTGGGAAGGGACAGAGGATGATTTGTCCCATCAAAGCCCAAGAGACACCCTGAGAAAGCACAGAAAGCCACCCTGCCCTCAGCAGAAGGGATCCTGCCATAAAACCCAGCGAGCCACAGCCCGAGGTTGGAGAGCAGGATACACTTTCCAGGACATGCTGCCAAAAGCTTTTGCAAGACAGAACAAGCTCAAAACCTAAAAAAACCCCCATAACCCAGAGAAATCTGTGTCCCTTTTCCTTGTCCCCTCCCTCCCCTGCCTTCTCCCAGCACAAGGCCCTTGACTCCACAGTGGGCAACAAAAGATGCCAGTGGACTGTTCCCGGTGTCAAGTGACGAGCTGCTGGAAAAGGACCAGGCTGGCATGGCCCCAGGGAGCAGAGAGGCTGCAGGAACATCTGCTGGGCTCAGGAGAGCTTTGTTGGCCAGGCTGCTGTGCCCCACTCTCCTGGCTCTGCCCCGTTCCGGCCAGGTGCCAGTCCACACACTCAATGGGAATCACTATCCGGGCTCACAGAGAACCTGGAGACACAATCCCCGGCCAAAAATGAGGAATGGCTGAAATCCAGAACTGGGAACACTGCAATGTTGCAGTCCTGCACTGGGGAGCACTGGGGGCTTGGATATCTCCAGTGCTGCAGGAGCACTGGGAATAATGGGGTGATGGGAATGGGAGGGGAGCACTCCCTCACCCCCTTTGCTGAGATCCTGGAAATCCTTTAAAGCCCCACCTGTCCTGCAGGAGCAGGGATTTGCTGTTTTTAATGAGTATTTCTGTCTAATCAGTGGGATGCATCCTGCCAGCAGCACAGTTCCTGAGGGCAGGCACTCAGGAGGCTTTAACTCCCAAACCTTGGTGCACAATGGGAATAAAATCCTGAGCTGAGTCCCAGCCAGGGACATCCAGTACAGATCCAGTCATTACTGAGGCATCAATGAAGTGATTTAATACCAGATATCATCTAAGGGAGGGAGCAAAAATGGCTGAGGTGAGATTTTTAGAACAAAGATGGGCAGGAAAATGTTCTCCTTTATTTATATTCAAAGGTATTGATATCTCCAGAAAAACCCTGTGATAAAAGCACTGAGTGATTTGTGGGAAACATGGAAAAATATCTTCCCTCAAGTTTTGCTCCCCCCAAAATAATAATTAAAAAATAAAAAAATCTGAAAAGCCAAACAGCAAGGTCTACTTGAAGCATATTTTAATCCTTTCATTTTTGGTCTGTCCCCAAGGAGAGGGGACATCACCCAGCCCTGGTGCCTCGTTAGCCAAAGCTCCCAGGAGCGTTTTCATGACAGAGCTGCCTCAGTCTGAGCTTCACTGGAGCAAAACTCTGTAACAAAATCTCCAGGGTGTTCATTCCTGGCTTTCATGGCACTCTAAATAGCCATTCCTGCAAACTTTCATGGTTGGCACAAGAGACCCTCAGCTGGCAAAGCAGAGGGCGGGAGGCATTAAAGTATTTCCTAAACTGCCTCTCCCCATCTTTTCTTTCCACCTGAGCAGAGATTGTTCACCTAAATGGAAAAAAGCTCCAAGGATCCTGTAGCAAGTGGCTCTTGGAGTGAGGAGGGATCCAGGAATTGATCCTACAGCCAAGATTTCTGCAGAGCAATTGGTGATTTTCATCCTCTCCCCACCTTTCCCCCTCAGGTTTGGCTTTGGGATACTTCATATTCCAGTTTCCCACAGATCAGCCTTCCAAAACTTGCTGATAGCAATCGTGTGCATCTCCAACAAACCTAAACACACACGAAATAAAGATCCAGGGATTGGCAGAAGGCAGGAAATAGGATTCATGGTGCTTCAAATGTCAAAACTCTTCCACAGCTGGTGGAAGAACAAGCCACGATGAACAGAAATCCGCCCATCACTGCCTGCATTATTGCTCAGAAGCATCCCTGCAACAAGACAAGGAAAAAAAAGGGGTTTTCCCTCCCCAGCAAGCAGAAACTCTGCCAGGTGAAGAGGAGAAGCCACACACACACACACACACACACATTTTCCCTGCCGGGGCCCTCACATTCCAGAGGCCCTGGGAACAGGGGTGAGGTGGCACTTTGCAGAGCGTGGCATCAATAACAAAGCTGAGGCAGAGGCAGGGGGAGCTGCCCCAGCTGACACATGGAACCTTTCTAATCCCATAAAACCCTTTTATGCAACCTCAGCTGAGCCAGGTCCCGTAAGGCAACGGTGTCAGTCGGACGCTTTCTCAGCTCCTCACAAAGCCCAAGCTGTTCTTTCCAAGGAAATGTTTCAGGGGAGGTGTGCATGTGTGGTTGGGTTTTTTTTTGTTGTTTTTTTTTTTGTTTGTTTTTTACACACCCAAGCCACTGCTGTTATGATTAAACTGCCAGCCAGAAGCCTGTGATTGTGTTCTTTTGCTCCAAGAAGGGGCTGAGTGGGAGATGGAGCGGACACCTCTAAGTGGAAAAATGTTGAAACTGGATGATCTTTAAGGCTCCTCCTAACCCAAACTGTTTTAAGCTGGATTCCAGCATTCCACAGGATTGTGTGTGTGTCCACCAGGAGCCTGGAGTGAGAGCAGACAGCTCACTGCACACATCCCAGGCAGCTTTACCTCTCTGGAAATTAACTCTGGCCTCTCTGAGAGCAACATCAACCTCCAGAGTCAAGAGACTGTTTACAGAATTCAAGATTTTGAATTTCTGCTGCAGAATTTTGCACTTTGATGAACCTCATGGGTCTATTCCAGCTCAGGATAGTCTGTTTGGTTTTTTTAACCTAATCTTGCCCAATTTCTGCTCTGAGTGCAACATCCAAACTTCAGGAAGGACCTGGCTGCCCTGTGCCACACCCACCACGCTGAGAGCAGCCTTTGCAGCATCATTTGTGCTATTCCCCATCCCAGTTCCACCAGTTTGAAGCCCGGAAATCAGAAAGTTTATCATTAATTGATGTAAAAGCAAGACCCATCTGGTTTGCACATACCCTATTGGTGTCACTCTGCTTCCTTGGTCGTGAACTTTATCTCAAACGTTGCTAATTGCATTTTTTTTTTCCTGGAGTTCAATCACCCAAGGATTTGGGAGAGATCCCAAGCAGAGCCCCTGCCACGA